TCTCTAGGACTTTCATTCATTCATTCACTCATTCATTCATTCATTCAACACACTAGGTATCTATTAAGCTCTCAGAGTTCAAGGGCTCCTGGCCCACGGCAGAAAGGACACCTGTGTGCCCTGTAAGCTCTGCTGGGAACAGGCAATTAAAAGGCTGCTGTCACCATTACTCCCATGGGATTCTCTGAATGAAGGTCTAGGATACAATATTTATCCTTCTGCAAATATTCCTGTGGTATTTGCTCTGTGCCATGCCTCGTCCCCTGTTGAACGCTGGCCTACAGAGCAGAAGAGGACATCGTTCTTCTCTTAGGAACTCCCAGTCTTGGGATAGGGGGATGGGTGAAGGGCTGTAGTGCAAAGTTGAGCTGAGACTGGCCACATCTGGGCCCAAATTGCAGCCCTGCCACAAGCCAGCTGCGTGGCCTTGAGGAAGTTACTCATCTACTTGCCCACAAAGTAGAGATAATAGGGCTGGCCCAGTGGCGTAGTGGGTAAGTTCACACACTCCACTTCTGGCGGCCCGGGGTTCACAGGTTCGGATCCCGGGTGCAGACCTATGCACTGCTTATCAAGCCATGCTGTGGCAGCGTCCCATATAAAGTAAAGGAAGATGCGCACAGATGTTAACCCAGGGTCAATCTTCCTCAGCAAAGAAGAGGAGGATTGGCAACAGGTGTCAGTTCAGGGCTGACCTTCCTTACACACACATAAAAAAAGTAGAGATAATAATCCTTTATGTGTCGGCTACCACTTGTTGAACATGCACAACACGCTGCTGGTTACTGTATTAGGCTATTTGCTTGCTTATTTATTTTAATTTTTCATATAACTCATATTTTTGTTTTTTTATTTTTATTTCTATTTTTTGTGTGTGTGTGAGGAAGATCAGCCCTGAGTTAACATGCATGCTAATCCTCCTCTTTTTGCTGAGGAAGACAGGCTCTGAGCTAACATCTATTGCCAATCTTCCTCCTTTTTTTTTTTTCCCCAAAGCCCCAGTAGATAGTTGTATGTCATAGTTGCACATCCTTCTAGTTGCTGTATGTGGGACGCGGCCTCAGCATGGCCAGAGAAGCGGTGCGTCGGTGCACGCCCGGATCCGAACCGGGGCTGCCAGTAGCAGAGCACGCGCACTTAACCGCTAAGCCACGGGGCCAGCCCTATTTTTATTTTTAAAATACCAAGTCAATTAACTAAAATTTTTTCCAAAATAGGTAATATGTATACATACCAAAAAATTCCACAGGTTCACAGTGAAAACTAAATCTCCTTTCCCCCATCCTCTAGTCTCCAGAACCCATCTCCAGCACATTGCTGTCACCACCAGGAGTGTGCCCCCTCAGAGATATTCAGACCTTATACAAACACACGTACACACATCACTCCTTCCCGTGGTGACAGCAGACCACATGCACAGTACCTCACCTGGCTTCTTCCACTTACTGGTTATCTTAGAGACTGTTTCATAATAGAACATATAGACCTGCCTGGTAGTGGTTCATTTTTTTTTTAAACACATGCTTAGTGTTCCATTATTCAGATTGACCATAGTTTAATTTGATCTGTCCCTAAGGATGGACATCGGGGTTGTTTCCCTTCCTTTGTGTTTCAGTCTGTCTGCAGTGGCTATCTGTGTTCACATGTGGGTGAGCATGTCTCTAGGATAAATTCCCAATAAGCAATTTACATCTTATTTCATTCTTATGCTCTCAACGAATCTATGAGATTGTTTTTTAGAGAGGGAAATTGAGACAATTGCTTTGATGGCTTTTACCACCCGTTCTGGACTCTGCTTTATTTGGTATCCACTGTGTCCTGTGTCTTCTCCCTACCAGGGTTTGGCTGTGTCTGCTTCATCTTGGGGAAGGAGGAGGGAGAGGGGGACCAGCGTGGGTGGGGCCTCAGCCCCACTCCCCCAACTTCTGGCTGTGTGATGAGCCAGGTGCTACACCTTGCTGTGCCCTCCTGAGCACAGTGTGTGCAGGTGGAGACGTGAACTGTACAAGCAGTGAGTTCTCTGGAGCGACTGTGCGGTTCCTCAGACTCACACAGGAGCTCATTGAAGCTGTGTCCTTCCCATTCCTTCCTCTGTACAAGGTGCAGAATTACTCATGGCAGAGACCACAATATGCTGAGTGAGCATTCACTACCTGCACGGCATTGTGCAAGGGCTCAGGCAGAGCAGTGGGAGACTGGGACAGTTCTGGGGTCTTGGCTGAGGACTCTGAGCCACCAGGGAGCCAGGAAGAGACTGCTGAGTGTTGCTGAACTGTCACCTGAGCGGGCCCTCGGGATGGCAGGTAGTGGTCCCAAGCTAAACGGATGCCTCCTGACCAGCCATTTTGCTCTCAATAAGTAATGAGATCAATAGGCAGGCAAAATCATCCCTCCCATAGCGTCCCCGAAATTGCCTCCCATCTGCAGAGGACAAATTGACACAATCTGCCTTTGTCATATTCTGTCTATGTGGACTGTTCCCCACTGAGAGGACAAGCCCCTTCATGGCTGAGACTATGCCTGACTGATCCCTACATGTGTTCCCTGCCATGCTGAGCCCAGTGCCTGTGGGGACTTCAGATGTGTTGAACCCCTCCAACCAGGACAGTTGCTGAACTGTCACCAGGACCACCCCTGGCTTATTTGGCCTCTTGGTGCAAATCAGAGAAGGTGTCCCGTGCATGCGGCAGCCCTGAGCCAGGGTGGCCAGAGAGCGAGGGGCTGGATTTGGGACCTCTTTGCCACTCAGCCAGGCAGTCAGTTGTCTATTTCTAACTATCCCTGCCTTCTCCATGCTCTCGTCCCAGCCTTCCCCTTCCTCTCATCATGAACATCCCTGAGCTGTTCAGAGGGCAATGAATTAGATATAGGACTTTCCTTTCAGAATTGCAACAAGCCTGACGGCTTAGTAAAAGCTCAGTAAAGGTTGGCTTACTCTCTCTCCACCAAAAAAAAAATCTGAAAATAAAACATTTTTTATTTCAGGGGAAAAAAATAAAGCAAAATTTACAGACCAAATTTTCATAATGCCTAGGGTGGGTGTGAAACATGAGCGTCCACAGGCAACCCTGATGATCCCAAAGGTCCAAAGTGCTTCTGCTTCCTCACCTTATGCAGTTATTAAGTGCCTGCTGTATGCTACACACTGTGCCAGGTGCTCCTGTCAGAACAGCGCTGTGGGCAGGCATGAGAATGAATCCCAATTTTGTAGGCGAGGAATGCCAGGCTCAGAGGTTCCAAGTTCACCCAAGGTCACTCAGCCAGATAGGGCAGATGTGGGATTCAACCTCAGGAGAGCCCAAGTCTGCAGTCCTCACCCTTCCTGCTCACCTCCTTGCTCTCCCTCCTCAAAGACCCAGGGACCCTTGCCCTAAGATTTGTAGGAGGTCCCTGTGTGTAAGGCACAGTGCCAAGAGTGGAAATCAGACCCACTTCCTGCAGATTTGGCAAAACCAAGCCAATCCACAGCATGAAGTTCCTGGGCTGCAGGTCTGAACACAGGCACGAAGAGATGCAGAATGATTTTATTGGCCTTGGCCTCCTCTTGAGGTTCACTGGAGGGAAGAGGGGAGAGGCGAGCTAGCCCCAGGATCCCTAACTTATAAGCACCAAGGGCCTATTTGCCCAGAGATGGGCCAGGATGCAGAGCAGAAGCTGAGAAGAAAGGAGCAAAACACTGGCTGGGTGGGCCCTCACTTTGGCAGAGACACCATCTCAGTAAAACCAGCATGAAAAGGATGCAGTGGGGTGTGGGAACTCCCTTGGTTAAAGAAACAAGAGTTTGCTTTTAGGTGCGTGGGGAGGGAGGCAGTGACAGTCAGGAGGTGTGTCCTGAATATACCTGGGGTTTCTGAGGGGCTGGTCTGTGGTGTCCCAAGGAAGAGGAGCAGGCCCCAGAGGATCAGGGCGAAAGGGCTGCCCTTGCAGCCTCTGGAGTGGATGACAAGTGAGTCCTGGCTAGGAGGACACAGTGGGAATGGGACAAGTGTTACTTCCCAAGCTGTGCAGAAATGTCTTATCTTTCCATTTTTGTTCAGAAGGAAACAGGAAATAAGAGTAGTGGGGAAGGCCAGGCCAAAGTGAAGTACAGGGTGGTAATTATCGGGTTAATTAGCCACCGGGGCGCAGCCCAGCAGGCTAACTGAGCACAGTCCTCCATCGTGGATCAGTCAGCCCTTCATTACTGCAAAGGCCTGGATGACGGCGACAATTCCTCTTCACTTGGGGTTATAGGATGACCCACCACCCCAGTTTGTTCAGATCTGAGGGGTTTCCAACATGTGAGACCTCAGTGCTAAAACCAGAAAAGTCCTGGGCAAATGGAGACAAGGTAGTCACCCTAGAGTATATGACTCTAGGTCTTACCTATTAAGGAAGAGAAGGACTTGTTGGTTCCAAGATGAAGAGGAAAAGAAATGGCTCTCAAACAAATATGAGGGCTTCTGGGCGTAGGTCTGCTCAGGGATCTGGAGAGTGTCTGACGCCTCTCTCTCCACTCTTGGCTTCATGCAGGAGAAATTAGGGTCCAGAGGGCAGAGGAGGTGGGAATAAAGGAAAGCGATGGACTAGAAGTGTGAATTACAGTTGCACTGCCCCATCATCCCACCCCCTCATGCCCCAGCCCATGGTCCTCTCTCCCGCTATCCACACACTAGTCAAGCTAGCTACCTGTTGGAGAAACTTTTGAAAAGCAAAGGAAGAAAGATCTGGCTCAAGCTTCAAAAGGCCTAGATTCAAATGCTACCTCAGCCATTTACTGCTTAGCTTTGGGCAAGTTACCAAACCTCTCAGAGATCTGGTTTCCTCTTCTGTCAAAGGAGTCTGTTACAGCCTCCATCAGGAGACTGTTGTGGGGATTCAACAAGACGACATGCGTGACAATGGGCAATGTATTGGTTACCCAACCAGTATTTGTTTCTTGCCTATGTGTGGGGCCAGACAGAATTCCAACTTTGTTTCTTGAGCACTAATGCTGCTACTTATTTTCCTTTCTGATCCAGGCCCTCACCATGCCCACCCTCCCTGCTGAATTCACCACAGAATACTTGCAGTATGATGAGTTTGCGGAAGCCTGTAACATGGAGGACGTCGTGGCCTTTGGGACTGTCTTCCTGTCCATAGTCTACTCTCTTGTATTTGCCTTTGGCCTGGTGGGAAATTTGCTGGTGGTGTTTGCCCTCAGAAACAGCCAGAAGCCCAAGAGTATCACCGACATTTACCTCCTGAACCTGGCCTTGTCCGATCTGCTCTTTGTAGCCACTTTGCCCTTCTGGACTCACTATGTGATAAGTGAACAAGGCTTTCACAACGCTATGTGCAAACTCACCGCCACCTTCTTCTTCATCGGCTTTTTTGGAGGCATATTCTTCATCACCACCATCAGCATCGATAGGTACCTGGCCATTGTCCTGGCCGCCAGCTCCATGAACAACCGGACCGTGCAGCATGGCGTCACCATCAGCCTGGGCATTTGGGCAGCAGCCATCTTGGTGGCAGCACCCCAGTTCATGTTCACAAAAAGCAAAGAAAATGAATGCCTCGGGGACTACCCCGAGGTCCTGCAGGACATCTGGCCCGTGCTCCGCAACGTAGAAACAAATGTTCTTGGCTTCCTGCTCCCCCTGCTCATTATGAGTTACTGTTACTTCAAAATCATGCGGACACTGTTTTCCTGCAAGAACCACAAGAAAGCTAGAGCCATTAAACTGATCTTTCTGGTGGTCATCGTGTTTTTCCTCTTCTGGACACCCTACAACATTATGATTTTCTTAGAGACACTCAATCTCTACAACTTCTTTCCCAATTGTGACATGAAGAGGGATCTGAAACGGGCCCTCAGTGTGACCGAGACAATAGCATTTATCCACTGTTGCCTCAATCCCCTTATCTATGCCTTTGCTGGAGAGAAGTTCAGAAGATACCTTTACCACCTGTATCGGAAATTCCTGGCTGTCCTGTGTTGTCGTCCCGTCCACGCCAGTTTCTCCCAGTCTGAATCACAAACGAGCAAGCGGGAAAGCATTCTGAGCAGCAATTTTACCCACTACACCAGTGATGGAGATGCGTCCATCTTTCTCTGAAGGGATCCCCAAAACCTTGTCCCAATAGAGAGCCTGGAGTTCCCAAGTCTGACAGAGAACAATGAGGACAGATTTTGTTGTTTCTTACATGCAAGAAATGATGGACCCAATGCCCAAAAAACAACCCTAAAGTGTTTTTGAGAATTGTGCTCAAAATTTGAATGATAAAGGGTAGGCATATTTCTTATTGCAAATGTCAGGACTTTTTTGTTTACAAATGACAAAATTCAACTCATTAGCTTAGCTAAAAAGGAGGTGGTGAGTGTTGTTCACACAGCAGCATGGACAAGGGGGTGGCTGTGCCCTCAGAGTGCATGGAAACCAGGGCTTGAATCTAGCCAGAATTTCCTCTTTCTGACTCTCAAATCTCCAGGGGTAACAGAGCTCCCATATTCGCATAACACAACTTTGTTATCAAAGAGAGACTGAGACCCATTTCTCTAGGGTCTCAAGGTCAAAATTCCCAGGGAAGGGCTCTGATTGGCTGAGTTTGTATCAGATGCCCATCCCTGGACCAAGTGGTGGTATCCACAGGCAAGGGATAGTAAGACGGCAGCTTCCATTCCAATCTCATGGGGAGAGGTACAGGAAGACGTATTTCCAAGAAGCTGGAGGGGTGGGTGCTGTGTTGATCAGAGAGGACAAGAGCTGCCCACCAACTTCACCATGTGTCTGGCTCAGCCTGCCCCTGATTGTACCAGCCAGCACTCACTGCCAGCCTCCTCTTCATTAAACCCCCTTCTGCCATGACCCCCAACCTACAAAGGTTCCCCATCAAGCCCAAACTCAAATGCCTGGCCTCTGAGACCCTCCACCATGTGGTCCCACTAACAGATTCCCAATTGCCTCTCCTTCCCAAAGGACTCTACCTACCCTGTCAGTCAGGTTTCTCCCATCCAACTCCGTGCATCTCCACCTCCTCCCAAACCCAGAGGGAGAAATAGAAAGAACCCTGGCCCAAACTGAGAAGTGATGGTTTCTAATCTCAACTCTATCTACTGGGTAGCTTAGGGCCAACTTAGCTTCAGTTTCCTCATTTGTAGATTGGAGATAATGGTACTTTTCACATACGGAGTATTCTTTCCAGCGTGAAGAACCAGGCACCAACTCTTGCAGGTCCCAAACCTCTTGTCTGCTTCCCAGACTTCAGCTTTCCCCTGACCTGGCACCATGCTTAAGCAGTAGTGTTGACAGAGCTTGGAGGAGCCTGCAGGCTCTGCTGCATGATATAGCCCAGATACAGAAGGGGCTGGTCCCTACAGTGGCACTCAATGGACACTCCTGGATGTACAGATTGATAGCCTTCCCTGACCCAACCCTCCCAGGCTGCCTTGAACATTCCTTCCTAATCCCCTCATGGCAAGACTCTGCCCATCTGGAGAGAACCCCCAACATTCATGCCACAGCCAGCCTGGAGAACCAGGGTCACAAGAGCAGCTTTCTTTTTTCAGTAAACATTTGGGATGCTCTAAAACTTTAAAGCTTGAAGATCAACTGTAATAATGCTAAAGAAAATGTCATCTCTAACCTAACCACACAATATTTTCATCTGCCCATCCAGACCCTGTTCATACCCTCACATGTTTAGAGTTGCAGTCATAATGTACAGTTTTACAACCTGCCTTTTTCCTCTTAACATTAGGCCACAAATAGCTATCCTTTTCTATAGAGTTTTGTAATGGTCATTTCAGAAGACTTTGCCAGGTTGTGTATTCATTGAAGGCATCTGACTCTGCTGTATGTCTGATACCTCCTTGGCAGTCAGTATATTTGTTTAATCAATGAGAGAATAAATCATGTTCCATCAAGATCACATACTGTAGGTTGCTCATCATTATGCTATTGACAAATGTTTCACTTGTTCCAACTATTTAGCAAATACATATTTTAAAGTACTTTTATCTGTGTAATTTCCTTTCCCCTCTTCAATTACTTCCTTTGGATAAATTCCTTGCCATGGGGATAACTGGGTCAAAGGGCAAGGGAACTTTTTAGCTTTTGATGCATACGTATGCAACTAGTATATTGACATTACAAAACCTTTACTGAGCCTATATTATATGCAACAGGTGAGCTCAGATCCAGAGCTGTTCCAAAGACGAGTGAGACCAGGTCTCTGCCCTCAATGCTTAATAGGTGCTTAACATTTAAATGCGGAACAGAGAAGTGACCAAATAAGCACACTTCACATTAATTGGTAGCACAAGGGCAGTGACAATCTGAGCTGAGTCTTTAAGGGTAAGGTGCTCTCCAGGCAAAGGAGGGGATGGTATTCTAGGCTAGTGGATGGCATACATGAAGGAGATGTGTGAGAGCCTGGGGAGCTTGAGATCTTAAGAAAGAAGTGTGTGAATATTGAAAGGCATTGGGAGCAGAGTGGATGGTGGGAACCTTACGGAGCGTTGGCTGAAATAACCAATGGAGGGGGGCATTCTCCTAAGGGTGTTCACAAGCTTGCTCCGTTATTGCTTGATCCTCATTCAGGATCAAGCAACTTTTGATTCAAGAAACTTGAATCATGAAACTTTTAATTGAATTTTAACTTATCTCTGGCCTCCCAAGAAAAAAGGAAAAAATTCTTTTGACTTGAGAAACAAAAGCAGAAGAACAAACACTTTCACTTCTAGAAGAAAATTAAATGTGTATCATAAGAAACGTTCCTTCATTCATTTTGCTGAAAAAGACAGACTAGGGAGAAACAAAGGAAGTTCGTTAAAAAACCCTAAGTAGCAATGATGTGGTGTCTAAACAAAGGCAGGCACATTTGAAAAGGACAGTTGGCCCGAGAGATCCACTGCTGCTTCTGAGCCCTGGGCTTCCCAAAAGCAGAGGGAAATGATACACTCCAGAGGCAGAGAGAGATCTACACTTCAGTCCCAACGTATTAACTCTGTGATCTTGCTCAAGTTACCTAACATCTCTGAGGCTCAGTTTCCTTATCTGGAAAATAAGAATAAAAGTAGTGCCTACCTCCTAGTATTATTATGAGGATTTAGAAAGATTGCCTCCACAAAGCTCACAGCACAGGCCTGGCAAAGCAAGCTCAAATAAATGATGGCCACTAATTCGATTCTTTTTCTTATTAATATTAGATTGAAGCTTTCCCAGTGAGGAAACTCATACTGTCTCATCCTGGCCTTCTTGCTTTTCTTAGTTCTAGAATCACAGAATTGCGGGTGGTCAGAGACAATTGGGTCCAAACCTACATTTTGCAGGTAAGTAAAAGGAGGCTTGGAGAGGGTCAGAGGCTGGCTCAAGATCACACAGTGAATTAATGAAAGAAGTAAATCCCTTGACTCTCAGTCTGCTGACTCCTTCCTTATCTTGATGAAAATCCAGAGCAATCCTATGGTGACTATAGTTAACAATACTGCATTATATATTTAAAAGATGCTAAGAGGGTAGATTTCAAAAGTTCTCACCACACACACACACAAAAATTGTAATTACGTGAGGTGATAGATGTGTTAACTAACCATATTGTGGTAAATATTTTGCAATGTATACATAGTATATAAAATCACTACTGTTGTACACCTTAAACTTAAACATTGTCATATGTCAATTGTATCTCAATAAAGCTGGGGAAAAAAGTACAGACCAATCCTGCCGCTAAGAGCAGAGAACATAAGTGGGCAAAGGAAAATTCCCAGAAAGAAGGTCTGCAGGCGGGTGACTTGGGCACAGAGGGGAGGTCTGCCCTCCACAATGCAGAATTTAACAGAATCAATCTGCTCACGATGACAAGTGCAGCCTGGGTGGTGCAGCCTTTGGCGATAGCTGTTCTGTGACATCAGTATCTCTAACGAAAAATGGTCAACAGGCAGAGACTCATTAGCAAGGGATACCGGGATTCCCAGAAGCCAATGCTATCAACAGCCTACAGCAGGATCTGGGTGGATGGAGCCTTAGATGAGAGAGGGCTGCTGTCAGGGGATGGTCACATCCTGGGGCTGCCCCAGTAGTTAGGGGAAATGCCAAGTCCCTTCCAAATAATCCTACTCACTTTAGGCTTATTCTATGCTTATTAAATGACTATCTGAGGGAGAAGTCGGCTTCCCATGGACCTTGCCACCAAGAAAGATAGAGAATACATATTTTGGATTACTGGGAAGAGCTATCACCCCTTGAAAACCTACTGTACCTGCAGTGTGTATAGGGTCTGGTGGGCTGTCCATCACCTTCTCTGAGATGCTGTCCCTGAGCCCCCAGGGAGAGAATTCACCTCTGGTCTCATAAAGCTGACAACTACACCCAGGAAGGTGGCAACCCACCTCTGAGAGGTCCACCTTGGGTAACACCTGGCCCCTAGATGGTGTCCCATTAGTGCCCTCAAAATTGAGTCAGTGTCTCCTAACAAAAGCTAATTTTATTTTCCACCCACATCCCATTCCCCTGGCCCACAGGGACCATTTCAGTTCAGCGTGACTTGTAATACTGTTTGGTTAACTTGCTGAGTTGACAACCACACACACACATTTTGGACTACCCAAGAGTAGTATTATCTGAGAGCAAATGAGAGAAGTAGGTCTTAGCAAATTTAGAAATATCCAGTTTTTCTTCAAGACACCCTCCAGCCACGGAAGGGCCGAGTTATTTTCTCAGGGATATGTGGCCCCATATTTCCAGTTCTGTTGAATAAGGCACATCGTTAGGCAACAGCAAAAGTTCCTCCACAGACACACCCTAGACAGCTCTAGAAACCACAAAACATGCTCAGCAGGAAAATTACTCTTTTACCCCATATTTCCTCATTTATTTAGGTAGAAACAAAAATAAAATTTTAATTTTAATTTCTTTGAATACTAGGTAAGATTGTTCAGTTTTCAATGTGTTTGTCTTTTCTGATTATAAAAGAGATGCACAGTCATAGAAAATACAAAAAAATAAAGAAATGTATAAAAATTTAAAATTACACGATATTCCACCTCCCAGAGATAACGGTTGTTAATATAGAGTCTTCCTTCATGTCTTTCTCTGCAGATATATATTTTTTTAAAAAGATTTCAGATCATAACACACATACAGTTTTATATCTTGTTTTTTTCACTTAACATTATAGCATAAATATTTTCCCGTATTTTAAACTCAAACATGATTTTTAATGGTTGCAC